GAGCTTTCCCATGGCCCCTGTAGCTTGGAAGAACAGAGAGCCAGTGGGGTGTGGTGGGTAAGAGCGCGGGACTGGGACTCGGGAGATCAGGATGCTGCTCCCCACTCAGCCACGAAACCAACTGGGTGACTCTGGGTCACAGCCTCAGCCCAGCCTACCTCACAGGGCTGTTGTTGTGGGGATAAGCTTGAGAGGAGGAGAATGATGTTAGCTGCTTTGAGTTCTTTGTAAGAAAAACTGGGATATTAATCTGAGAAATAAATAGAGAGCATACTTTGCATACAGAAGGCCCCCGGTTCAACCCCCCTCCTCCCCAGGTAGGATTCGGAAGGGATGCTACCCAGAATTACTGTCAGGGCGCAACCCCATGTTGCCAGATGCCGCCTCGCAGGCCGCCTCGCAGTCCCAGCCTGGGCCTGGACACGTGCTCTGAGGCGGGAGCTCAGAGGGCTTCTGTCCTCATCGGCGGCATAGCTGCCCTCAGAGCCGGGGCTTCGTGGGCATTCCTAGTGGGCCCTCAGCGTGTCCTCCTTGGAAGCGACCGCCGGAGATTCAGTTAGTGGGAACAGGTGGGAACCTCCCACCTGTGCGGGGTGAGAGATGGGTGCAGCCAGCCTCCCATCAGGGTCCCAGATCCTCTGAGCTGGGAGGGTTATAGGCCACCGGCTTCGGTGGTGCTGCCACGTGTTCGTCTTCAGGATGCCCAAGGCTCTGTGTTGCTTTTGCTGCAATTCAGGAGCCTCTCTAGAAACTCACCTGACAGCCAGTGTGGGGTGGTGGTGCGAGTGAGGGCCTGGGGACCAGGGAGACCCGGGCTCTAGTCCTCACTTGGCCATGAAGCTCACTTGGTATCTTTGGGCCACTCACTGCCTCTCAGACTAGCCTACCTCACAAGGTTGTGGGGGAGTGGTGTAAGTTGCCTTGGGTTCCTTAGACAGGGGGAAAAGATGGGATATAAATGCAATGTAATAATAACTATCTGGACAACAACAACAAATTTGCCATGTATGTAACATATAATTATAATATATAATATAGTATTATATAATAATCTGCATTATGATATAAATAACCTGTGTGCCCCCCCCCCCCAGTTTGCTTCTAATCTGTCCGTTGGTGAAGTCACTGGCACAATAACGTAAGAAAGCGTGAAACCCTCGGCGGCGCATAAGCCGGGTTCGTGCAATAGAACACCCGACAGCACAAGCGGTGCGCGGCGGGCGAGCAGTTGGCAACCCACCCCGCGCCGCGGCCCCTTTAAGAGCGCGCCCGCTCCCCCGCCCCGCTCCCAAGAGGCGCCCCGACCTCCCCGAGAAGTTCAGACGCCGCTTCCGGCTCCCGAGCGAACGCCTGCGCGGGGATCGAGCGCCGTGTGGCTGGCCATACGCGCCATGCCGGATCACCATAGAGCTGCGAGGGGCAGAGCGGCGCGCGGATGCCGGAGGCGGGCGGGCGCGCCTGCGCGCCGCGGTCGTTTCTCCCTACCTCTACGGCGCTTCCCCCTCCCCCTCCCCCGCCCTTCGCTCCCCTCCCCCCGCCGCAGCCGCCGCCGCCGCTGCTGCTGCTGCTGCTGCTGACAAGATGGCGGCGGTGGCGGCCGCGGCGGGCTCCGGCCTAGGCCCCGGCGGGCTGCTCGAGAGCCGCGTCTTGGCCTACACCCTGCACCGCTGGAGCAGCTTCTCCTCCACGTACTTGCCCGAGTGAGTCGCGCCGCCGCGCGGGTGGGCGGACGGGCGGGCGGGCTGCGCGGCCCTCCTCGGCCCGCCCCGTCCTCCTCGGCCTGC